TACCGAGCTTAAAATTCACCATCTTTATTAACTTATCAATACTAGAATTATTCTAGATTTGGAGAATTTGATTACAAATACATTAAGACAACCTCAAAAATTATCACTTCCTTCATTCACATTTTATAGTATCTTATAAACGTGTTTTATAAACTAAAAATATTGCAGATCCTTTACCAGGATTGATCATGATAATATTGGATATAGCGTTCTCTGGTAAAAAGTATTTAAAAATACAAGCTTTCAACAGCCAGTCTGCTGCCTTAGACGGATAAAAATTTTATCTCTGTTGAAGATGGATGAAACAAATTTTTATCCATTGAAGACAGTAGACCAGCTGTTGAAAGCTTATGTTTTTAAATACCTTTTACCAGAGAACGCTATATACTATATCATCTTGTTGAAAACTGTTTGTGCTTTCTGTCACAGGAAAATGGTTTTGTTGATTCTGGTGATTACCAATGTGAGGACATCACATTAGAACGGGTAAGTATTCAAACCTATCTTCATTAGAATGCTACTGAGTGGTTTAATAATTGAATGGCTTAGTGCAAGACTGACATAAGTGACTTTTTCGGGTGAAAAATGATTTTTTCGTTCAAAAGCGCCCAAATTTTTGCATGTGGTCTCCAACGTAATAGGAAAACATTGCCCTGTGTTTGTATTCCTTGTCTTTTTTTGCCTGATGTACAAAACAAAGTGGAAAGTTTACTTGCTCAAAGATGGGATCTGGAAATGAATTTCTTCAACTTGAAAATTACTAAAATTTTGAATGGTGGTGTGTGGTGTGGTGTGGTGTGGTGTGTGGTGTGTGGTGTGGTGTGGTGTAGTGTAAAAGCAAAATATGCATCTGACAGCTTCAAACAGTGTACATGAATTTTGATTTCTTGGCTTACATATGCTCTTGTTTGTTCTGTCAGGGCACAACAGGCCTTGGTTTTAGTATTGGTGGTGGAAAAGATAACCCTCACATTGATAATGACTTTGGAATTTACATCACAAGGATTATCAAAGGAGGTGCCGCTGCAGAGGATGGCAGGCTGGTGTAAGTAAGCTGCTAAACCGCTAACATTTCAAAGAAATTTTTGTGTCAGTTGCTGATTAGAAGTGTATGTTTTCTTTAAGTCAGGGTAACAATGAACTTTGCATGCTGGAATACCATCATTGAACATTGCATGAGTTCGCTCTTCACGTTTATGAATCAGGTCACTAAGGCACTGACCACACTAATGCATTTTTGGATGAAAAGGCATACTTTTTGATGCGTTTTTGCCTATCATCCAAAATAAAATGACCAAAAACGCTGATGAAAACAGAGGCCTTTGAAAACTGTTTCTCAAACTCATTAATAATTCATAAGGTTTAAACAAAGGAAATCATGACCGTGACGGTGTTTGGATATCTGATCTTAATTAGCATAGATTTTAATGATTTTCTTTCTCCCTTTTCTCCTTAATTTAAGTTTTGATTGAGAAGATATATCAAACACTCAACACCGTGTTTGACCAAATTTCCAAACACCTCGAAATTTGTCAAAAATACTCCGCTACGTGTTGTATTTTCAATTCTCTTCTCGATGTTTGGAAATATGGTCGAACACTGTCTTTCGTGTTTGATATATTACTTCAAAAGTCAAGCTTGTTGAAAACACATTGTTTTAAAAGTGCTCCGTTTCTTGTGTGGGTAGGTTAAAACAGAGGCTCTTGAAAATGGTGTTGAAAAGGTGTTATAAACAAACTAAAAATGCTAGTGTGGGAGAAAATATTTTGTTTCATTTTTGTTGAGATGGAAAACAGGTTTTTGAAAATGCAGTGTAGTCAGGGCCTAAGCCATGGGTGATAGATTTTTTTTTCTCTTCTGTGTTTTTGTTGACTGATTGTCCAAAGGCAAATGAAAGAAAAACAAACCACTGGCAGTAAATGACTTTAATTAAGCATTGTGGCTAGCCTTTGACCAGATCTGGAGAATGTTATAGAATCTAGCCTATGGCACCAAGGGTATAAAATTATTTCGTTGTTAGACAGCAGTTCAAAGGTTTTAAAGTGTTGACCAGGATTAATATATTTTGTGGATTATTTGCAGTGTTGGAGACTGTATTGTGGCTGTGAATGGTGTATCAACAGTGAATGTGTCTCATCAGCAGGCAGTGGAAGCATTGAAGGCTGCTGGTGGTGTTGTCACTTTGGTGATTATTTAATTTCTTTTCCAATCTAGTTTAATTAACGGGGCAGGTCACACTGTTTTGTTACAGTAGATGTTTGACGGTCTCTCAGCTTGAACTATAAAGCCCTGCCCAAACAGACTCGCAAGTAGCGGCAAGTGGAACTTGCATAGAGACTTGGGTGGTCAAGGCTATGGGCGTAGTATTTCATTGAATGTCACTCAACTTGCATTAACTTGGGGTGATGGCTAAACGATGAGAAACTTGTGTCAACTTGCATGCAAATTTGAACTCAACCAATGTGAGCGCAAGTCACTGCAAGTCATCGCAAGTGCACACAAGGCGGAGCCTTGCAAACAGACTCACAAGTAGACCCAAGTTTTCTTCTTATTGCTCTGGCAATGGATCAGCAAAAACCACAGTGTCACTTGATGCATATTGAGTTTTGTTTCTGAATGAAAGAGATGTTTTAAATAAATGACACCATGTGATGTACATTTTTGTGGCAAACATTTTTGCAGAAACTTTTTTTGGCGAAGACTTATTTTTGCAGTTTGGGAAAAAAAACGTAAAAATTAGAACCCTCAAAAGTTTTGTGTTGCACAGTATGCAACTACTCAAGCAGAGACCATGAACTGCATTGTAATGTGGAAAATGTGAAATCATGCGTCCTTGTCTGTTTGTTTCTACCACTAGACATTAAAGAGAGAGAAAGCTAAACCAGTTACTGGAAAACAGCAGACAGAAGAAATAGTATTAACTAAAGGAACCAAGGGTATGACAATGCGATTTTTGGACATTCTTACTGAACCACATGATGTTTAACAATCACAGACTGTACTATTTGCGTAAGCAGAATGACTGATGCTCAAACTTCACAAAACTTGCCGACAATTTACACAGAAAATGTCAAATAAATTATCAAGCATTAGGTTTAGTATTATTTTAGCTCAAGGGATGTATTCTGGACTCAGATGTACTTGTTCTCTACTTGTATTTGATCCGAAATATAAACGATGGAATCGCATTGGCTAACATTGTACTGTAGCTTGCACATGTACTGACCCGTGAAACATTCCCTTTCACAGCTGCAGTTAAGTCAGTCATTTTACCTTTTGCAATAGTCTTATTTTTAGAGGACCACCTGAAAACCACCTCTAGGTGATTGGAGTCCTCCACTTAAAATATAAATTTTATTATTATTATTATTATTATTATTATTATTATTATTATGATCATCATCATCATTGTTATTGAGTGTTATTGTTATTATTATTGAAAGAACTGATGTTAAAATTTTTTTCAATGTTTTGAAGTCTTAAGTGATGAGAAATTGGTGATTATTATCTTTTGAAGATTGCATTTTTTGTTTGATTATATTTGAGTTGAACCAGAGGTGGGCATCCATTAGCATCTTTGTTTATTGAGGCCTGCTTTGTTCTTTTCTGTATAGGTCTTGGTTTCAGTATTGCAGGGGGAAAGGGAAATCAGCATGTGCCCGATGATGACGGCATTTATATTACCAAGATAATTGATGGTGGCGCAGCTCAAATGGATGGCAGACTGCAAGTTGGAGACAAGATTGTCAGGGTGAGTAGGGTGGCTGCTCCTGTTCCTGCATTCTCATCCCCAGATAGGTAAAGTCTGCATATGAACCAAGTGGCCCATTAGGCTGGAGCATATCTGGGTTTCTGTAACATGAAGCGACTAGGAGTATTTCTAGTCCCCCCTGAATGGGATGCCAGTCCATCGCAAAGTTACTCCCAGCATTAAATTTACGGGTACCCATTTGTACACCTGGGTGGAGAAAGGCGTCATGAGAGTAAAGTGTCTTGCCCAAGGACACAACGCAATGTCTCCAGCCAGGGCTTTGACATGGACCACTCAATCCAGAGTCAAGCGCACTAACCATGAGGCCATGGTGCCTCCACTTACTCCACCTCATCCCCAGATACGGCAGTCATTTTAGTCAGCAGCATGATTGGCAACCTTTGGCTGGTATGCACAGTGGGCTCATTTTCGATTGTCAGCCAATCGGATTTGAGAAATAAGAAGTCAGTGAATCGCAGACTTTCCACTGGCCCCAGGCCCTAGTCTCTTGGAACAAGAATTTAATTGTTAGTGTGCTAGCAGTTTCTGCAGTCATTTTCGTCTTGAACAATGTTAGACTTCCAAGCTCTATGGGTTCTGGTTCTGTGATTTGCTAAAACCACCAGTTTACTAGACGAAGAAGTGCAGTATTTGGTTTCTGCAGTGGAAAGTGAGGTGCGCTAACTCTTAGTGTGCTAAACTCTGGATTCAGCACTCCAAGCTGAGCCCTAGCCGGGGACATTGTGTTGTGTTCTTGGGCAAGGCACACAGTGTCTCTCTCCACTCAGGTGTATAAGTTGGCCAATTGTTGGGGCACACTTGCAAACCGTTGTTTATAAAATTGCTCTAAGTAACCTCATGCTTCTTGAACTGGGGTGATGCGCTGGTAGTAACAAGCCCTCTGTCTGTCTCTCCTTCTATCCTTGGGATTGGAAATGACTTAACATTTAGTCTCTTCTCCTCCGTGCAGGTTAATGACACGTCGCTGGAGGATGTTACACATGAAGATGCTGTTGCCACTCTGAAGAAGACACAGAATAAAGTTGTGATCGTTGTAGCCAGAGTGGGTATGATGAATGCTGAATCAGTGACACCTCCCCCACAATATCAAGAGGTTGTCAATTCTAGTAAGTGGTTCACCAATGTACCGTCAAACCTCTGCGACAAACATCTGTAGCCACACACAAACACTACATTTTACACGAGCGATAGCGTAGCTAGAGGGAGTTATAGCAGTTAGTTTGGGAAGAAATAATTCACTCGCCCAGTCCATCCATCCATCCATCCGTGCATCTGTCAGTCAGTCAGTGAATGGGTCTGCTTAGGAAGGTTCACATTATTATCAAATGATAAGAAGACCTTCATGTTGCGTTGAAATGTAGTTTACAGTCATTTCTATAAGAAGGACACTTCATTAAAATGACATACAGTGTTTTGGATCCTTGTGTTCAAGAAAATACCATGCATTTTCTCTAACATTCAACCATTAACTACAGACATCTTATTCATACAGATGCTCAATCTTCCAGAAAAACAACATCGACATAAGCTGATGAAACACTTGAGTGAGTACAAGAGAACTGTCACAGCTCTTTGGCTTAACAATGAGCTTCCAATGTTTATTTTGCACATGCTCGGTTGTTACATCAGCCTCCGTGATTCTTCTTTCCAGTAAAATAAGGCAAGAAATCACAAATTTGACATCATGGCACCTCATGCAAAACTTTTAACCATCCGACTAGAATGAGTTTTGCATAAGCAGCTTTAATTTAAAAAAAATGCAAACAAGGATTGCACTGAAGTGGCTTATGTTCATTTCATGACAGGTCCACCTCCCCCACCATCTCCTCCCAGGGACGAGAAACCAACACAGCCCTCACCACCCGTGCAAGAAGAATTCACACCAAGTGAACAAACAAATAGTTTGCCGAGAAAACCACAAGCGCCTGCAGTGCCAGAGGATGATGGTTTTACCAGGTGAGAACACAAGCAGTCTGCCAGTCAAAATCTAAGACCCCTTTCACATTACGCCGGAGGAATTTGAAAACAGAAATTTCACCCTGAAAACGCATCAAATGTTTTCTGTCCACACTACACCTGAGGAATTTAAAAACACAACAATCACCGGTCATTTTTGGATTTGTGTTCGAGAGGAAAACTCAGTCAGGTAAACCACCTCATTATCTTGAGGCCGTTTTCAAAATGCTTGCTGTCCACACGAAAACGAAAAGGCGACGTTTTCACATTCTTCCGGTTTAAAGAGCGTTTTCGAAAAGTTCCGTTTCCGTGACGGATAAGTGTGGACGGTAGGCCTAACCGTAGAAGTAAAGCTGCGTTTTCAAATTTCTCCGGCGTACTGTGGACGCTGCCTCACTCACTCGAGTAACATTCTGTAACTTAAAAATCTAAAATTTCTTGTTGTGATGGATTTGTCTTTATTTCTCTACAGGGAACCTAGGAAGGTGGTCTTGAACAAGGGACCCACAGGCCTCGGGTTCAACATTGTTGGAGGCGAAGACGGTGAAGGGATTTTTATCTCGTTCATTTTGGCTGGAGGCGTGGCTGATTTGAGCGGAGAACTTAGAAGAGGAGATCAGATTCTATCGGTGAGATCAATGTTGGCCATGTTTTCCGTTACGTTACCAATATGCAGCCAGCCACAATTATGGTAGAATGTACTGCATTGGTCGCTTTTTGTATTTGGTTAAAAAAATCTTCTGCATAATAATTCAGCATCACGCTTTTTAGGATTACTCCTGTTAAGTTTCTTAGTCAAGTGCATATAAGCGCGTTTTTAAGACGTAAAATAAACGACTTATTCGATGTCAGAGGCTGGAACTGAACTGAAACGTTGCTCTGTACCTCAAGATGGCGCTGTAATAGCATTGAAACTGAGTGTCATAAAACCAAAACCAAACCAAACCGATTACTTTCCAATTAGGCTACCCACCCAATCTCAAAAAGTAGTTAAACCGAAACCAAAACCAAAGAAATTGCCTGATTACTTTCGACACTCAATTCAAAACCGCTCTGGCGAAAGTATTTCGTTTGTTGAACTGTTGAACGCGTGCAGAGTGCTCTGACCAATCGAAGAAAAGATCATGTCTTGTTCACCATGACCAATCAGATGCAAAGCGTAGTTTGATCTTTTCCCGCCTTTCTGCTGAGTACACGCCTTTTTCTGCGGCTGTGATTACTTTGATCCAATCAGGGCAAAGGTGATGTTGTCTCAGCCAATCAGGTGAAAAGCTATAACCAATCCTTCCCTGGGCTTTTTCTCATTTGTTCACTTCTAGCAGTATTTATGTTTGTGATTATACCGGTTTTTTCGTCTCCTTTTTTTTCTTTTTTCTTTTTTGCTTCATTCGCTCTCAATATTCGTTTGATTTTCGCCAGGAAGACTTCTGTCCGTTTTTTGGTAACGTGGGTGGGAAATGCTTTTCTCTTTGTTAGCATGGGTGATATCTTCCTTTACGACCAACTTGTTTAATAAATGTAAACGACGAGCAAATATTGCTGTACTGAACAAACATTTTATAAAAGATGAAACAGCAATATACACTAATAACATTGGTAATACACCAAGTATTGTTTCTTTTATTCTTCACATCTTTTCTTCGTGAAAGGCCGGTTTTTCAACGTTTCAATCTTAAAACCATTTTGCTACAAGTTGCACTCCTCTCCAAAACTTCTCATTAATTGGACATTTGAGAAAATCACAGCGCTTATGTAGATGCGATTTTTAAGTGCAAAGAAAAGGATATTGTGTCGTTTATTTAGTTTTTTCCTTATCTGCGCATCCTATCCTCATTAAAATTCAGTACAAGGACTAATATTTTCACGATTTCCAATTAAAATTTAAATCTGGACGCACTTAAATCATTCTGTCTAATTGCTGGCGTGAAAGAGGTGCTACCTTGCTGACGACTTGGGTGATGAATTATAAATAGCGAAACCAGATATATCAACAATAAATCTTAATTTTGCAAATAGCAGCTCTGAAAGATGACTCATTCGAGTTCAATTTGGAAATTCGACGGAGGTGAATTGAACTTTAGTTTGAGCATTTTAACATTCTGAGAATAGGATTAAATTCCTAAACTAGAGAAAAACGGCTTTTTATTCATGTTTTTTTTCCTTCAGGTGAATGATGCGGATTTGGAAAACGCGACACACGAGAAAGCAGCAGCTGCCTTGAAAGGCGCCGGTAACACGGTGGCGATTTTAGCGCAGTATAAACCAGAAGGTAAGAGAAGCCTTGTGATGTTTCAGTTTTATAACGTGGTCTAGATTTTATCAGGGTTTTTAATTTACCCGTCGTCTGAATTAAAGATAAATTGAATTCTAGAGTCTCTAAAAAGACGACGCCACCGCTTCGCCGACTGAGAGGTTTTTTAAATTTATACGGGTAAGATGGTTTGTAAAAATGAATTTTATTAATGCAAGAATTAAATAGATTTTTTTTCTCCCTTAGATTATTAGATGTACCTTCTTGACAAGTTTTCACGTCTCTCGGGAATATAGATACGCAGTTTTCAATCGTGATATTGCTCGGCTTTTTGCTTTCTTTCTTCCATCTTCGCCTTCGCATGAACATGACTCCAGAATACAACAGTGATCGAAACTCGACAGAAGTCGGAAATCTTATTTCATGCTTTAGCCATCGATTCAACTGGTACTATACCATTTGGATATATTTGATTTGTTTCAAGTCGACTTCCTGCAAAAATGTTTATAAATATCGCACATGGTGTCCGTAATTTCGCCCGTGAAGGTGTTGGCGGATGTTATTCGCGAATGGTTTATTTTATTTTTGTGAGATTGGTTTATTTTTAGAGGGATTTATATAATTATTTCATTTATGTTTGTGCGATGTTTTTAAACGAAGCGAAAACCTATATTGTAAGAGTTTACGTCTAGTTAGCGTTTGTTTCCCAAATTATTGGATTGGTTTTCAGTAGTTTACTTCTTAAAGCGAAACACGAATTTCATTTACGAGGGAAAAAAGGTATCGTTGCAAATATAAATAAATTATTTCGCTTGCTTCCAGAATTGATTAGGCGGTGTTGATTTATTTTATCCCAGGCGTCAAAAATCGACCAGACGTTTAAAAAAGATAAAAATATTCTTGATGTCTCGACGTTGTGGTAAATTTTGGTACTTGCATATTTGAATATTTTATGCTTTTCTACGACCCTTGCCAACTTTTCTCATTTCCGATTCGACAGACTGGTGAAATATCTTAATTGCCGAAATAATGTCACTCTAATTCTCACTGGAATAATTCTCTGAAGTGTATATAATTTAAATGTTGAATATTTGGAATGCTATTAGTAGCGTGCATATAAAAGGAAAGTAATTAATCAAGTTGGCGTTTTTTGAGGACGCAAATTTTTCATTTTGCGGAAGATTAGAATATGTTTTTTCCGGTCATGTCGTGGCAACGCGAAAAAAAGAGGCGCCATTGTAAATAGTGGATTTATTTACACGGTGGATATTTATGATCAATGTGTTTTGTTTTGATTCCGTTGGAGCATTTTGCGGTCTGCTGAGAATTGACACACAATAGCGCACAGGATACCCAGGAACAATTGGCTTGACGCTCCATTAAATATGAATACAAGAAAGCGATTCGATTTTCGCTTAAGCTGAAGATGGCTGGTTACACTCGTCTGTCATCGCGGAAACTCCAAGTGGATAACTAGTGAAAGTCGTGAAATCAAAAGTGGAATCGCCGCCATTCAATGGAGTTGGACAGCTCCTACGCGACATAACAATATTGGATTGTAAATTAGCCGACGGGTTGAAAGTTCGACGCGTTGATTACGAAACGAATATTGCGTTACATTTGGTAATCTGCTTGTCCGTTTATCGTCGTAAATCTGATTTTAGAGTCTTAGTGGGTATTCCAGGCGATTGTTAATTGATGTACCAGTCTACATTATGTGTAAATGTACGTAAAGAGCGAGTATTCTAAACAATTTGCATATCGTAGCGAGTTCATCGCTCTTGTAGAGTTATTTTGTCTGCCGATGTGAGCGCGTGGTTGCCATCTCTTCGCGTAGTTATCATAATCGCTTGTTTTTCTGTCTTTTTCTTACAGAATACAACCAGTTTGAAGCGAAAATTCACGATATTCGTGAAAAGATGATGAACAGTGGCAGTCCGGGAACTCTTCGTACTTCTGTTAAGCGACAGCTTTATGTTAGGTAAGTAACAAGCGTAAATATTTGAACTCCTCGTTGGTGAATAGCACGCCTCGCTGAAATCATCATTCTGATTTCTGTCTCTCGCCTCGTGGTGTTCATTTCACTCGACGTATTCCCCCGAGATACCCTGATGTTTCTGCTTTCGAGAAGAGTGCGTGGGAATTTTTAGGAACGCCAGGCCATTCATAGGCGAGTGGTTTTGCCGAGTTTGAATTACAAATCACTATATGAAACATGTCGCATGAAACCACGCGCATGATGTGACGGTCATGAGAAGTCACTGGCATTCCTGAAATATTCGCCATTTTCTCCTGAAATCGATCCAAGCGATATTAATGTTGTTATGTTTTACACCTATTTTTGGGAACTAAAATGTCCTAAGAGTTTCGCCGGAAGATTATTCAGTTTAATCTTGGTTAAAATGAACCTCTCTTGAGAGTTAAGTGTACAAAGCATTTGCTGCTACAGCGGGTTTGTGGAAAGGTGTGTTTTCGATTTGTACATTCTTGGCGTGACTTTTCCCCAAAACTTCCCTCCTGTTGCGTTATTTACTTAGCATTCGAAAGGCGTGATGTTTTTAATATCCCCCCTGCTATGTTTTAATCAGAACATGTGTCAAATACACTTGAAAATTACTAGAAGCCCGCTTGGATCAAGCAAAGAATTATCGTCCAGATTCCATCGGTAACAAGTTATTTGCGTTTCTGCCGAATGTACTTCCTTCTCGTCGGTTATTTCCGGACATTAGTGTCTTTGTAATTTACCTGGGAACAAATTTACCTATGTAAGCTGTGATATAAATTGATAAGATTACAATTCCTTTCTTGTTTTTATGACTTTGATATATGCAGGATCGGTTCGGGAATTTTGCTCAGGTCTGAAATACTCTATTAGAATATTGTTTTTCCGGCCGAGGCTGAACATTCTTATTTTTCTGCAGATTTCAGGCCGAAAATGTCCTAAATTTGTGAAAATTCCTAGATTATAGTGTATGACGTTTCGGTTTTCGAATGTATTTGGTGTATGGATGGTGTTAAAGTAATTTTGGAGCCAGCCTTCAGGCATTTAAGTCTGACATGAAGCACATAACTTCTTGCAGAAATGTTATTAGCATTGAACATACGGCTAGTGCTGTTTTTTTTTTTATGTGTGTGTGTGTTTTGGCTGGTTTTGCCGTTTAGAGAAAGGAATAACTTTATAGCGTTTAGATAAAAAAAACATATAATTGTATTGTATATACAAACTTTCAACACCCAAAATTATATTCTTTTCGAAATCCCAGCCTCGGGTTTATTCTTAAGATATTCTTAGAATTTCGCAAACTTCAGCCACGATATTCTTATAAAATATATACCTATGAAAAAGAGAGTGTCGTTGATACTAATTTATCCGCAATAGCAGTTCTATTTTAAGTATTCCGTGTATAGAATTTCAAGCGATTTGGTAAACTAAGTCTTAAAATTTACTAGTGAAAATCTGGCAGTGTTTAATACAAGAAGTGTTATCCCATCTTGTTTTCGGCTGCTAGCAGTCTTAGATTGATGGGAAATAAAACTCTTCTAGCACCTTAAAAACTCTTCGCCGATCACTGACAATTGAACAGTTTATGTTGACCTTTTTGAATTAGTCGGTGTTAGAGAAGATGAAACAAAAGACAATTTCTTGACCAGGATTTCCTCAAAATGTATATCGCTGAACAGGGTTGAGAGTCCAACAACAATTTAACACAAGGTAGTGTCTCTTGAGGGTTTTTTAGTTCGCCACATGCTGGGAAAGTAATATTAGGTTATTGTTGTCTGGTTTGAATGAAACCCTTCACGTTTGTTGTGGTTTTATGGCTCCGTACCCTCGCAGACGCATTCCCTGAACGTGGAAAACCCGTGTGTGGGCGGAGAACAGATGTTAGACATGTTATGGTGTGATAAACTTTCTTTTTTTAAGAAAAGTCATATGACGTGTCGCCTGTGCTCTATATCCCCGGTTTGCGGGTCATCCGGCCGCCTTGTTGAATATCCTCTTCCGTGAGTGGATTGCCACATTTGAAAATGGTGTTTTCACAGCCTCGTTTTCAAAATGTTTTCCGTCCGCACTAAAACGCAAAGCCGGCGTTTTCAAATTCCTCTGATTTAAATAGCGTTTTCGAAGAGCTCCGTTTCCGTGACGGATTAGTGTGGGAGGCAGGCCTAACCGTAGAAATAAAGCTGCGTTTTCAAATTTCTTCGTCCTAGTGTGGACAGGGCCTTTAGAACGGTTTCACTTGAGTGTCGAAAAGTCACCGGTTTTGTATTACTACGCTTGAAAAAAAATCTCGCGCCACTTTTTAATCCAATCAGAAGTAAAATCAAAACCAATCATGACTCGCTCTCACGTTTTCCCGCGCTTTTCGTCAGCTACATGTAATTACTGCGAGTTTTGATTCGTTCATTGTATTGTCTGCGTCCTTTGTGATTGACTAAAGTAATTACATTGGTTTTGGTCACTCAATTGAAATTGCCCTAAATGATGAACTGAATTCAAAAAAACAGCAAGCTATATTCCTACAAAACATCCTTCTTATGTGCGTACAGTTCTAGTCGTAGAAGGAGATAACAACTGTATGCTTTTTGTTCAGGGCCCTGTTTGACTACGACAAAACGAAGGACAGCGGTCTCCCCAGCCAGGGTCTCAGTTTCAAATATGGCGATATTCTTCACGTGACCAATGCCAGTGATGACGAGTGGTGGCAGGCGAGACGACTGAATGCTATGGGGGAGGAAGAGGGGAGAGGTGTCATCCCCAGTAAGAGAAGGTAAGTAGTACACAGGGTTGCCACAGGCCAGGAAATGGTCAGGGAAAAAAATGTTCTTCAAAGTATGGGAAAAGTCAAAGAATTTTATTTTGTGTCAGGGGAAATTGACAATTTGAAGAAAAGTCAGGGAAAATTGAGATAATTTAACACGGCTGATTTAAAACCATTGAAGGCTAGGAGAAACTTTGGGGTCATCGTGATCTCAATGATATTTACACTTATGAAGAAGGGAAATTTGTTGAAAACTAATCAGTCTTATTAAACAAGTGGAAAGGACGGCTGTAAGTTGAGGCTGAAAGCTGCCGGTAGAGCTGACATTTTGTAGTTATTTGGTCTAGAAAATTTTATTTTTATCAGGGAAAAGTCAGGGAATTTTGAAAAATGATGTCTTTGGCAACCATGGTACATTAACTTGACATTAGCCAAAGTCAATTGATGTTGTACCGAGTTTGTACTGAAATCTGATTCAAATCATTCCCGTCAAATTAGATTCTGTCCGTTTCTAGAACGTCAATAACAAACTTCCAAGCTGGAACTAGCTTCAGCTATAAAGTAAAATAAACTTAACGTATTCTGCAGAGTCGAGAGAAGAGAAAAGTCAAGAATGAAGACAGTTAAATTTTCAAGAAACAGCGAGGAAAACAAGACCAAGGTGAATACTTTTAAGAGGCCTTTGCCCGGGTGTTTTTGATATCATTGCCATATCTTAAGTTCAGCGGGAATGGAGGACTGAAAGTCTTGCTTCATGTAATTTGTATTTTATCGAGAGAAAAGAAAAGAGAAGTTATGGTTCCCTTGGTTTTACCAACACATTCTCTGTAAACCTGATTCTTCTGTGACCAGGTTACGTAGCGTTTCATTGCCAGTCTTGTCCTTTGCAGACTTCATTCAATGAAGGCTCGGGAGCCGGCCGCAAGCGCAGTTTCAAGTTTTCCAAGAAGCTGCCATTCTTTAAGAAAGAATCCGAAAATGAGACGACCAGCGACGTAGAACCAAGCTACACATCAAACGCCAGCGACAGTGAAAGCAGCTACAGCGCACGCGCTGAGGAGAACATTCTGTCGTACGAGGCTGTGGTGCAACACGAGTTACAGTACACCAGACCTGTAATTGTACTGGGGCCGCTTAAGGACAGGATTAATGATGACCTCATCTCTGAATTCCCGGATAAATTTGGCAGTTGTGTACCCCGTATGTACCCATGCTTTTGTTTGTTAGTTTGGTTTCTTTTGTCATGCATGTTGGTTGTAGAAAGTTACAGTAATTTTTATGAGAAACTAAGTAGAAAAATGTCTCCATAGCCTTTACCATGGGAAACACAAAGCGTGGGTGTTTGGCTGATAGGCCATTTTCGATATATTAAAATTCTACCCTTACTCCGAGACTTAGAGCAATAAAATATAACAAACCACTTCCAAGTTCGGGGGATGAATAATCAGTTTCTTTCGTTATATTCCCCTAAACCTCGTTTTCATTTATCGAAATTGGCCTATTCACTTCAGCCCTCACCCGCCTCCTTTCCCAAGGCGTTAAAGTCCCGTTGTACGGACAAAAGCAACTTTCGCTCTGCGTTTTACGCTTACGGCAGCTATAAGAGTAATGTCACGACCTAAGTTTACGACTATCTCGGCCTAAAACAAATAATTGGAAGACCGGTCAGATATTGTACATAATTTTTCCACGTCATAATCATGTCACGCTTTGCTTTGCGTGACAGATACGACACGTGAGAGGAGAGACTACGAGGTGGATGGACGTGACTACCATTTCGTGACATCACGCGAGGAGATGGAGCGATCAATTCAGAACCACATGTTTATCGAAGCGGGTCAATATAACGATAATCTTTATGGAACCAGTGTGCAATCAGTAAAAGAAGTCGCCGAAAAGGTAGTAGCATCTTCTAGTTGTTCGTTTGTGTGTAAAATATTAGCAGTGCTTCATGTCGCTTTGTTTGTGACGTGAGCAGTAGTAAAGGTGAAAGAAAGACTACCGCGAGAAAACTGAGGTGTGTTTTACCTTAGAAAAAAGCGCAAGGTGTTTTTTCTGTCGCCTTCCTCTTTAATTTTTTAATTTCTTATTTTTTTTTATTTTTTTCTTCTCCAATGCGTTCGCCGTTTTTCTACCTCCTTCACCCCCC